AAAAGCTGAATGCCTTTGTGAGAAAAAGGGTTAAAACAAATAATCAAATACTTCTCAGTTTATTTTCTATTAACTAATCAGTCATTCAACATTCATCATTTAAGCCCAAAATATTAATAATATAACAGGAATTTCCCAAGGTACTTGCATCCATTTTATGTCCTCTCACCACTGGGTATAGCAAATCTTTCATCTTTAACAGGGGTCTTCTGAAGGAAAAGGTAGATTACCCAGTAACCCAAATGAATGGAAAACTTTGTGAGTTGTTGTTAAATGCAAGATGTAAATTAATATGTACTGCTGGAATAAATCAAAAGTCATGCTTGCACAGAGTGCATTACACTTTGACAGTCAAATCTAGCAACTACCCACAACAAGTCCCCTCTTTGGCATTAGCTAAGATATTAAAGATGTTTCTGTTAAAAAAAGCCCAAACACCAGACCTTACATGATCTACACCCAGACAATGTACATTGACCAACACCAGATTGCAAAGACAAACTGCAGTGCTGCTCCATATTAACTTTGTATTTCTAATTTGACCTTTTCCAGTTAGGTAGTGTGATGAAGTTCAGCACATTAGTTCAGAGGGAGGCAGCACGAGACAGCAAGTTTGTCTTAGTGCTCCTCTCCCATAATGCAATGATTACTGGGGATGTAAATCTATTAAATTAAAATTTTTAAATTGTGTCCTTAGAATTTCACTATGAAGGTAATGAGCGACGCAAAGTTTGGCCTGACAACTTTTTTGTGATTTCAGAACAAACCAGCTGTCCAGGTGCTCGGAGCAGATTTAAACAAACAAACACATCTCCACAGAAGGAAATAATCTAGTTTTTTTTGCATTTACATTTTAAAATCACAAGAGTGTAAGAGCCACAGCATGAGAAACGTTTCCATTTCAACAGAAATCAAAAGGACATTCCTTAACATTTAAAACTATATTCACAGTTGCTGTATATCACCATTTACTCAGCATGATGGTTATTATTCCTGCAATTTGGCCTTAACTGTTTCATACTGCAGATGGACTGACCTCAGCATTTTAAGGATCACTTACATTTTGACCTTTTGCAGCTTTCTGCTCAGTGAACCTACAAAACACATTGTGTCTCATCTGAACTTT